CAGGAAGTGTATTTGTGTGCACTGTTCCACGTTAAAGCTGATGGAAGGTCCCAACAATGTCAGCCACATCATTAGAGCAGGGGTCATCAACCCCCAGTCCACGGCCCGGTGCCGGTCCGTGAGTTAGGTGGAACTGGGCCGCGGACACAGATCTCCGCCCCCCTGCATGGGGGGCGTGTCACACTTGCTAGTGGGCATGTGGCCTTCATGCTAACCCTTTCCCCGGTGCCCCTTGCAAGAGAGCAGCACCCCTTCCCTGTGGGGAAACCACCGTGGGGCAGCCAGCCTGGGAAGCACCCTGATGTATGGCTTTGCTTCTTTGCTTGCTTGCTCCCCCCTCCCCCCCCAGGAAGCAGCCACCCTTACCTGCCTGTGTCCTCCTTCATCTGCAAGCAGCTGGGACATGGAGCTACAGTACTTGCGGGGGGGGGGAGCAGCAGGAGAGACAGCAGTAGTCGAAGCCAGAAGGGGGGAGAGAGATGGAGCTACTTTGCAACTCTTGCCTCCCGGAGGCAGCGCTTCCTCTGCATACCCAGCTGGCCTGTCTGCAAAGTAGCTCCATCTCTCTCCCCCCTTCTGGCTTCAACTATTGCCGTCTCTCCCGCTCTCCCCCCCCCCACAAGTAACTCCACGTCCTGGCTTCTTGCAGATGAAGGAGGACACAGGCAGGCAAGGGCGGGGGGTGGAGAGCGGCTGCTTGTTAGCCGGCTGCTCCATGGAGAGGGAGGGTGGGGAGCGAGCCAGCAAAGAATCCAAGCCATGCATCGTGGCACTTCACAGGCTGGCTACCCCATGGCAGCTTCCCTGTAGGGAAGGGGTGCTGGGGGAAGCGTTAGCATGAAGGCCACACACCCACCTGCAAGCGTGACACACCCACTATTAAGCATGACATGCCCAGCAGTAAGCAGGGGGGTGTGCCCCACCCCCAACCGGTCCGTGCATGGAGCACACACACCCCAAATGGTGCGCGGACCGAAAAAGCTTGGGGACTGCTGCATTAGAGGCTCATTTACTTGCTTATCCTCTACTGTGATTTCTGCTATCCTCTGCCAGCACTGGCCTCTGCTTTCTACATAGGACAAACACTGCACAAAAGAATGAATCTGACAGATCTGATATCTGGAATGTTTTTTTAAACATTTTAAACATTTTAAACATTATTGTATTTGTTGTTTACTTTATTAGTACCTTATTCTAAAGTCCCAAGGAACTCCAGAACTATAGGTTAAAAACAATACAAAAATGTGAACCAATATAGCAATGAAAAGTCCTTCAGTTTGTTTAAATATCTAAAAGCTCTGCATTATGTAAGATCATACTTAAGCCAGGGCAGCAACTGCAAAAGGCCTTACTGCCAGTCACCATCCACCTCACCTTTGGTGGAGGAACAGCGACCAATCCGCATGTGCTCCTGGTTAATACAGTGGACCCTCGAGTTATAGACGGTTCCGCTTACAGACTTTTCAAGTTACAGACTTTTCTGGCTGCAAAATTTAGGTTCGACTTGCAGCCGGAAAATTGACCTACAGACCAGGAAAAAAAAACAAAATGGAACGAAAACGGCCGGTTACGGATTAATCGGTTTTCAATGTATTGTAGGTCAACGGAGCCTCGACCTACAGACTTTTCAACCTGCAGCCACTGTTCCAATACAGATTAATTCCGGAAGTCGAGGGTCCACTGTATTACAAAAGATATGCCCATGGACATTTATTTATTTTATTTATTGTATTAGATTTATACCCCTCCCATCTAGACAGATAGTCTCCTCTGGGCGGCATTATGAAATTTAAAAACAATAAAACCAATAACATAACAAAACCCAAGATGTAAAAATGTAGATATTAAAATACAGCAGGAGGGAAAGCCTTCCTAAATAGCCATGTCTTAAGTTTACTTCTAAAGACACCCAGAGAGGGAGCCAGGGGGATTTCTACGGACAAGTTGTTCCAGAGGCGAGGGGCCACTGCCAAGAAGACCCGTTCTTTCGTTCCCGGCCTCCCTCAGCGTTAAGCCCCTCAATCGCCTGGCGAACAAGTGTCTCTGCAGAACTGGGTGGGAGAAGGCGCTCTGCCAGATATCAACATGAAGAAACCTAGCAAGATTCACAGAGAAATTGTCAAATGGCTGGAGTTGTAAGCCTGCCTCAGGGAGGAAAACAAATGAACTACACTGTAAAACAAATAATGTTACCTCTAAGTCATGCAGCTACACCATGCTACGTCAGTGTTGCACGACCAAACCAGTGTTGCCACCCACTTGCTTCTGGTTGCAGCCAGCAACCAGGTGGAAAATTTAAGGGAACACTGCTGTTTAGGTTTGATGATGCAAACAAAGTTGGGACCATGTTTCCTGTTTTTAGTCAACTGGGAGAACGTATAAGTGTAGTAAAATTGAACTTTTCAGAAACCTGGCTCAGTTACAGTTAACTATCTGATGGATTTTCCACTATCAAAGGAATTCATACATGCTTTTGTCCTGCTTCATCTAAAAGTACAATAATATGTCTTTTTAGAAAAATCACTTTCCTTTGTGTAATTGCAAATGAAGAAAGCAACAAGCAGTAGTAAAGTCCAAGTAATTAGCTGTGTGTATAACTCAGGATTCTGCCCTCAATTTTGTTCACTTTGGAGGTGAGGAGCCACAGTGGGCTCTTCAGCTAGATCTGTGTAGCTCCCTGGAAGAAGCATTTGAATCAACTGCCTTACCTTATTACAAGTAATACAGATCATTCCCATAATGATATACTACATTATATATTTTCCTAAACTTAATCATTCCATATCATACTTCCTTGCCTACAGGCATGTACTATTATTTTTTACACATGGTTCCCAGCTGGATTTCATTGTGGCCTTCAAAACATATTGCAGTGTTGTGTGATTTAGTAGGAGTCACTTATCTTTTTACAATCAACTTTCATCATATTAGATAGCTGTATATTTTCTCTCTGAATTGGCTTATACCTTAGAAAAGTGAAAATTAATACCTATGCAAAATAGATTTTTTTTCAGAAACAAAACAATCTTGAGTTTCAGCTTTTTACAGAAAGGTAGAATACTACTACCTTTCCAACATTAAAGTGCAAATGTGTTAGAGAAGCAGAAATGTTAGAGACCTGTGGCTAGGAAACAAAACATGTTTCAGTTCAGATTTGTAAGGGGATGGGAAATTACTTGGGGAAGAAATAGGAAGTCAATTCCAGATGGTTGAAATTGTATAGAGGAGTTATTTGTGCTAATGACAGCGTAGGGAGCAGAGTGAAAGTAGAGAGCTGAAATTACTTTAAAAGTCAAGTCTGTGTTGTGATCCTTGGAATATTTACATGAACTTAAGTAAAAATTTGTTTCTAAAAAATTGTATCAAGACAGAGACGTCTTTGCACAATTCTGTGCTATTTGTAGTTCACTTCTGAAAGTCATCATGAGAACCCACATCTGAGCTGCATGTCTGAGCAGAGATACAGCACCCTTTTTTGTTTCTTGTATTCACAGTGTGTACAAAACATATTTTCTTGTTCCTAGGCTCCCTTAGGATCCCTTTGGTTCCCAGGGAAAACTTTGGAGGCTACAGGATGGGGGGGGGTCCTTAAATGTCTGGAAACCATTGCTATCAGGACCACTGTAACCACTGGGAGTGATGGTGGCAATTTATGGAACTTTAAGACTGCTCTGTCCTGCAGCCCCCAAAACTTTTCCCAGGACCAAAAGGATCTTAAGGGAGCTGAGGAAGGGGGAGGAGGGTATAGCAAACTTTTTCAAACCAAAATATGGCGACAGTGGATGACATCATCAGATTTACATAGTGTAACTTTAATGAGAGTATTTTTTTTTCCATTGTAGAATAAAACTGTGCAATATATTCATGACCTTGTTTATATTTCTTGATGTTTTAATATGTACTTTATATAATCTGGAATTACAGATTATATCCGCACCAAAAAAAATCAGCAGGTGAAGTAATCTGCTACAGATCTTGCATCATTGGTAGCAGAAATGTAGCAAAACGTTATGTGTGGTTTCTTAGAGGTGGCATTCGCTAGCAAAGACCAAGCAAAAAGCAAAGTGCTGCTTATATACCATCCCACAGTGTTTAAAGCTTTCCCTTTGTGGTTTACAGTTTAATTATGCAGGCTGCATACTGGCATGCGCGCGCGCGCACACGCACACACACGCACACACACACACACACACACACACACACACACACACACACACACACACACACACACACAGAGAGCTAGCCACTCAGGGTATTCAGTTTACTGACCTTGGAAGGTTGAAAAGTTGAGTCAACCTTGAGCCAGCTACCTGAGCCCAGGATTGAACTTGGGTCTTGAGCAGAATCTTTACTACTGTATTGCAGCTTAACCACTGCACCATGGTATGAATGTATAGTTAAAAGCATTATTGTGACAATCATCTTATTACTAGGCAGAGTAGAGTGCATGGCATATTACTTGAAGAAGTATCCTCTCCATACTGGGCCCAGTATGAGGCACAGAAAGCTAATTTCTTTATGTCGTATTGGTTAATGAATGTGAAGTTGTCTGTAAGTCAGAAAGAGATTTTCCATTTACCCACAATATATATGCCTTCTCACAATATATATGCCTCCTTCAAATAATTTGACTCATAGGGACATATGGCCAGTGTACAGGGTCTTCATTTCAGATGGTATCTTGTTTGCAAGGGAAGAAAATATGTTTGCTCTTTTCCTATGCAAAGAGCACTTGTAGCCCATGGAAATACACGAAAATGCATGATCTTTATTGTATTCTTGATATATTTCTTTAGTATGTCTGTTCTGTTCAGAATACAGAACAAAATGGTTTATGGGAAGGAAGTTTTACTTTTTCCATAAAACAAGGTTAGGAAACTTCATGTTCCAAAGATTTGTCTGGCATTGAAAAATGCTATAATGTTAATTTTATTGAAGGATTAGAGTCTAATCATTAGATAAGGCTTATCATAAATTTGTATGCCCCTTTAATTTTTCAGGTACTTCATAGACAGCAATCACAGCCGGCCAAGGAAAGTTCACCTCCAAGAGAAGAGGCCCCACCCCCACAAGCAGAGGACACATGCACGAAAAAAACAAGATCCCGTACGAAGATTTCTTTAGAGGCTTTAGGCATCCTTCAAAGTTTTATCCATGATGTAGGCCTCTATCCAGATCAAGAGGCCATCCACACCTTATCTGCTCAGTTGGATCTACCTAAGCACACCATTATCAAATTCTTCCAGAACCAGCGATACCATGTAAAGCATCATGGTAAACTAAAAGAGCACTTGGGTACAGTGGTGGATGTGGCTGAATACAAAGATGAGGAGCTGCTGACTGAGTCAGAGGAAAATGACAGTGAGGAGGGTTCTGAGGAAATGTACAAAGTGGAAGCAGAAGAAGAGAATCCTGAAAAAACAAAGGCAACTACTTTGGAGACTGACCAGAGATAATGTGAAAACATCACTGGTTAAAGCAATACATTGATCCAAGATCTCTCTTTTTTTCCAGTCTTCTTTTAAAAAAAATTATGTGGGGTGCACATAGAATATGTGCAAATTGAACAATTATTTTGCATAGCCAATCAGACATTCCCTCGTAACAGGCACTTGAGTGTTACACTTTTTATGTTTGACCGAAACAATGTTAATTGTATTTCATGTAGGATTACATCTTTGTTAACCTTGCACTTATGAAAGGAACCTCTAGCAAGTTACAAGAAAAATAGACCTATGAAATCAGTGAAGGAAGTTATAACAGCATTCATGTGTATATGTATGTGTTTGTGTATGTGTACGTACATACACACACACACAAACACATATATCAAAATAAATATAGATATAGAGATATATAAGAAATTTGCATGGAACATAACTTTACAATCTGAAAGTATAGACTGTGAAATGAGCTCGTTAAAGATGAGTCTTGTTTATGTATTTTTAAAAAAACCACTTCACAATGAGTTGCTTTGGCTTTTAGATAAACTGCTGCCTGCTCTCAGGGTGTGGTTACTATTTTGGAATACCTATTTATTTTCTATGTTTATCCCTGATTTTTTTAATTATTATTATGGCTTCCACTTTGGCAGCTTGATGGGTAATTTTTGAGGTATGCATTTTAAAAACCTAAATCAACACTGCCAAAACAACAAAAAACAAACAAACAAAAACGAGAGAGAGAGAGAAATTTGGGGACAAAGTCAGGGCACCTTAAAAAAAATCCGAGACCAAGTAACTTCAAAAACAAAAAACACTTTAGTACGTAAGGCACATTTAAAGTCACAAAGCATGACCCCCCCCCTCATTTCTGTAGTGAACAGATGGGTTTTCATGGACTTTTCAATGGAAATTCAGTGCACAGTGAGCTTGTCTGTTTATAAGGTCTTCATGAAAAATTGGTTTTTTAATGAGATTTAGTGTGTGGATTTTTACACTGAGCCACAGTTTATAGTGGTGGTATTTTGAAGGTGCAAACCATCTACACTGTTGCCGTGCAACTTGCGTTAATTTCAGCAGGGCTTGTGCAGCTACAGTTCTTGTTTATTTGTCTCACCTTGATGTTTTAGAGCAATTCCTCATTATGTATGTTGAAGTTGCTTTTCTGGTAAGCTTTTTACAAATGAAATCATAAAACTGAATCACAGCTGTCATTCTGTGTAGCTGGTTTAACTGGTTCTTAATCTGTCAAAGGGTCTGATGGTTCTCCACTGCTGAATTCCCTTCTGTATTTGTTCTGCTATAGTTTGAGTCTTCTGCTTAAGGCTCATTATCTCAGTGAGACAAAATATTTTTCAGTCAATAGTCTCCCAAGACGCAGTCTTTATGTAATGCACGGCAGACTTGATAGGAACGCATTTTCTGAACTTGCTGCAGTTCTAGGCAGCGAGAGTAAGCCAAGCAATTTCTGTGTAGTCACTTCCTTGTCATAAACTGAAACCTTTTCCCAATGACCTAACATAGCAATTCCATTACATAAAGCAGAACAAATGCTGAGTGACTCTTCAATAGTAACAAGCATTAAAGCTGCAATCTACTATAGGTTCCAACAGATTTTTGAAACTGTGGTTCTGCAGTGACACAAGCAGTGTTGCTGTTCCTCTTCTGCATAAAGGTGCCACCCCGCCAAATATTTTGACTTCCTAATATGTATGGGTTGATTTGTGGACTTCTAACGTCAGTGTGAGGCTTCCTTTTGACATTTGCTGTGTAAACTTTTAACAAAGACTTCATGCAATATCACTTGGAAAGCTGTTTTATGTTTCTTGCACAGGCATTGTAATATATAATTGTTAATACTATTTATATATTTGAAAGGTATAAAAAGCAGGCATTAAAACAAACCTCTGTATAGTTACTCAGAACGTAACAATATATGGAGAGAGAAGACATGTTGCAATACAAGCTAATTCTAGCTGCTCAGTAACCTCTGAAGTTTTTAAAGGGACCTTTCCAGAATCAATATATTTGATATCCACAGTGTATCTGTATCCACTTCATATATCCTTGAAAAACAATTTTGGCTTGCTGATTTAAACTCTTTGTCCTTTACTTCTGTAGTATGCTGCAGCTTTAATCAAAAATTCAGTAGGCGCTGCTTTATGTTCTCTTTCAAGGTACTCATTTCAACTCCTTACCTGAAACTCTCTTGCTGAAATCACTATATATATGTAATATTGGTCAAACTTTCATAGGGGTATATTCATCTCTTTGATGGCATCAGCATTGGGTTTTTTTTTCTCCCTTAAACACTTCAACCAAAAATTTTAGTAAGTATTTTTTTTTCAATGCTGGGTCTTGCCTTTGTTTTGTTTTGTTTTTAATTTCACTGCCAGTTTTGCGGTGGTTCTTCTAAGTAAATCTGTGGGCATTTTCGCCTGTAGTCTTGCCAGAAGTTTGCGAATTACAATGCATATATGTCTATTTATTCAATATTCATCATATAATATCTATTTGGGAAAAGAATCTTTTCTTGTAGTGCCTCTTAACAAAGCACAATTTTCCGCCTTTTTTGTGAAATAAGAGAAAACTTTAAAAAAAATTGTGTTATTACAGTATCAACAATGTGAATGAGGATTAACATATTGTAAATGTTCTTTTTCCATGTAAATCAACTTGATCTTTGTTATCACTAAGTGATAATTAAATTTTAACTTATGTGCATTGTTAGTCTGTTAGAATTTTTTGGTTGTTGAAATAAAACACATTCAGTAAATGAGTTACTTTGTAATGTATTTTTCTATATGCCTCATTTTCCTTTCACCTCTTCCTGGTTTGATATGAAACATTAAAAATCAAAAACAAATCCGCATCTTAGAAATGTAGTTTCAGCCACAGTGACCCTATTTGTGCATATTGAAGGGCTTGCCATGAGCCTAGCAGTCCTTCCATTGTCCTTCCCAGGACTGTTCCCCACCTCCCCATGTCACTCCACAAACTATTTTTCCAGCTTCCACTGTTTCAAAAGTAGTTGCCAGTCCGGGAATATACACTGAAACAAGTTTATCTGCAAGAATAGATTAGTTGATCAGTTAGAAAGCAGACTACTTAAAATGTCCAAGGGCTGTGTACCTAGGTTGTAGGAGATTTACTTCTGCTTTGCCCCACTCACCTGTTATCTACCTTCTTCTGCCAGCAATCTTAGCCACTGAATAGGGTTTGCTAGTGACTGAAAACTGGTTGACAGGAAAGGTTCTGGCAGCCAGAGGGGTAACTAGCAATTTTAATGCTCAGGACTTTTCTACCCTTTTGCTTATACTCAAGTCACATGAGACTGGCACGTGTTTCAAGAAAAGAAATTTGTCTAGGTGGTAATAACTGATATTTTACCAAGTACTTTTGGTGGTATAGCATAGCCTCTTCCATAGAGCAGCGGAGCTGGTTTGAGATTACTCATCTAAACCATGAAGCTCACAAGTTAGTATATCAAGGCATCGAAATGGATTGGTGGGCACGATCACAATTATTATCAAGGTTTGCTAAAGATAATCAACAGGGCTTTTACCTAGAAAATACCCCCTTTGACAGAATTCTTCTAGAATCAGAGAAAAAATGTATTAAGTTATATAATTTTCTGTTAGATTTTGAAACACAAGATGAAGTGATAAAGGCATGTATGATTAAATGGGCACAAAATGTAGGACATAATATTGAACTGGATCAATGGGAACAAATTTGGAAAACAAATATAAAATTAACTAAATTTGTTGCATTCAAAGAGAATATATACAAAATGTTCCGCAGATGGTACATGACCCCCACAACTTTGGCTAAAACAAGCACCCAATTTTCAAATACAGTGGTGCCTCGCTTAGCGACATTAATCCGTTCCGGAAAAAAGTTGCTAAGTGAAAACATCGCTAAGCGAAATTTAAAAGCCCATAGAAACGCGTTAAAATGCGATTAATGCGTTCCTATGGGCTTGAAACCTCACCTTTAAGCGAAAATCCTCCATAGCACCGGCATTTTCGCTGCCTCTTAAGTGAAGAAAAACAGTGGGTGGCCATTTTGTTTTCCTGGTGGCCATTTTGAAACTGCCGATCAGCTGTTAAAAAAGAGTCGCTTTGCCATGATCGCTTCCCCGCGATCATCGCAAAGCAGAAAAACTCCATAGGGACCATCGCAAAGCGATCGCTTTTGCAATCTCAAAAACTCAGTTGCTAAGCGATTTTGTCGCTCAATGGAGCGATCGCTTCGGGGGGGCGTGGGTTCGAATCCCACTGCTGCCACCACTTTTATATGTAACGGCCTCCTTCCACCTCACAACGAAAGGTCGCTACGTCACCACACTTCTACACTTC